TCAACTACGGAGCTAAGTGCGCCGTCGTGCGTCGGCGCACGATCGATGATAAAGGACACTTGCTGTCCTCTTAGAAAAAAAAGCAGCAGCTTGCTACGGCACCATCAATAGCGAAAAAGGTATCCTTTTTCCCCTCCCCTCTCGCGACGATTCCTCTTGTCTGCCGTAAAGTTCATCGCTTCTCTACGTTCCGAAGATCCAGCTCGACGACTCTCGTCCACATGCGTTCGCGTACGAAATAATAGCAGAAGATAGAACTAAGGTGCGCTCCGAATTGCAATATTCTCGGCTTCGCCACTAATCTATGCCTGCTGACACGTCAACGTGATCAGCCGTTGCCAAAAATTGTCTAAATTCTGTAGAAAGGCTCCTACGGTCACCACCATTTTTTCTTTCGATTTTCAGTGAAACGTTGGGTGTTCGTTGATAGATCTTCGTTTATCATTAATGACAGCCGCGCGACAGTTCAGTGATATAAACGATTGGACAATATTATATTCATAACCAGGGCGCCCGGATGTTCGCGCGGTTTCTCGAGTCGGATGCTCGCTCCGAAGTGAGACAGCAACATTTCGAACGTCATTTCTTAAGGGGCCTGTGTCCACGATGCTAGAACTTAGGTTCTAGTCTCGAAAAATGTGTAGCCAATCAACTTGCAGGTTTTATGGAATAGCTGCAAGTTTATTGGCTTCGCGTTTCTCGGAACTAGAACTTGGGCCAAGTTCCAGCATCGTGGACGCAGGCCTTTAATGGCAGGTCTCTTCGAAAAATGTTGTTATCTCACGTTAACGAGCATTCAACTCACTCGCACGCAGTGGTGCTTCATTCGCGCACCGAGAAACCGCACGAACGTCCGCGCCTCTATTCATGACGTTATCACTCGAACGTTACCTAGACGAGGGATATCGAAGAGCGCGTGGCTCACTGTCGCGCGTCTACAACTTCGACAAGGGTATCAATTGGCCAAGTTATGCTGCATGCGACGTAGCGTACACCAACGTGAACAATTGGCTGTTGAGTATAAATTATTAATAAGAGCCCACGTATATAGAATTGCTATTCCGTATCATTACAGAATTAGATAAATGTGTGCTTCTTATTTTCAACACTCTGAAAATTTCCAGATTCACAAATTCTCAAATTTCCTCTATCGCGTTCGATGCGAGGGAAAGCGAGAAACTGCGGAGCAGAAAAACACGCGTAGAAACATTTTGGTAAACGCGTGGAGCCTTCCTTGTAATTTTGTTTTATGAATCTACGCAATGAAATAATTCTCGTGATCGCGCCAATCCATGCAAAGCCGCGACAAATAATCGTGAACAACTTTCCGAAACTCGGTCCTCCTGATTCCGTCTTCTTTTTACTCGCAACGGAAACTCAGAGGTGCGAGTAATAGCGCGTACCGCTTATTAAAAATTGAAAGTAGTAGGGAGTACAGGCGATGCGTGTCTCCGTCGCGCACGCATCGTAATTCATTGGGGGAAAATTTCTCGTACACGCTTCCGATCGTACGAGGAACTTGAAACGGCTTGAAACTGACTGTCGCGTTAATTTTGAAGAGAGAATGTTTCACTTACCTTGAAAAATGCGCAGACGCATTGCGGTTTCTTTTTCTAAAGGCCAATTTTGTGTACGTCTTACGTCTCGATTTCGCGCTCGAGAAAAAAAAAACGAAGGAAAAGTTTAAAACAGCGATACTTCTACTTCCGGACCCTCGCCTCATTTCGAGGGCGACAATTGAGCCCATTTCGATGCCTCCAACGTTGCTAGAAATTTTTATCGCACGTGCTGTGAAAACGAAATTCAAGTTCCTTTCGCCATCGATCGAGCAGCCGTACTGCGCTTTTTAATCTGCATTGTCGAAGGTGGCGAGTTCGATAAAGGTCGGACAATGAACGACGAAGATGCGAATTGCGAGAACGAAACTCGGAAAACAAAAAGAACGAAAGATAGAGAACACTTAAAACGCTGCTTTTGCTTGGCAATTGCTCATTTGGCACTCTGAGAAAACATACGGTCGAGACGAAACGATCGGGGAAGGACTTCAACGCGATCGTCCTTGCCTCCGGCATTAAACGCGCGAGAAATTAATTAACGCGGGAGTTTAGTTCTTCGCGCACAGGAAACGCGCGGAGTCGTCTGACTCGCCAACGTTGGCTGTCCAAGGTGGATTTTCCCGGACTGACGCATCCGCCATTCGCCGCTTGGTCGTGCGGTTTCCTGCGCGTTAATTTTTACATATTTTTTTTTCGTTTTTCAACCCCTCTTAGAAAGTTTCTGATCTCGCTCTCCTGCGATCTTTCAATGAATCGTCAACGAACTGCGCGGCTACTTCAGATTTTATTTTATTTCTTGTATCACTTGTTTTATATGTATAAAACGTAAAAGAAAGATTAATATACAGGGTGAGTCTTTCCATATCCGACAAAATTTTTGAGAAGGTAGAACGGATCGAGATGAACGGAAAAGTCCTGTACCATTTTGCAATTTTCGTAATAGTTAACGAGTAATTAATTATTAAAAATCGTTGTCTTAGGCCGGCCTACCGCCCAATTTGAGCGCGTGGCAAGATGTGACCGCCCGGCGATCGATAT